GGGCGCGCCGCATCCCCGCTTCAGCCGCGGGGCTCCCCCGGTGGCGGCGGGACCCACGGGGCCCGGCCCCAAGCGGCGCTGGGTTCCGCCCGGGGCTGGCGGAGACCTCGGGGCTGGCGGAGGGGTCCCCTGCCCCGCTCGGTGGCGATGGGCCGGGGCCGCCGAGCTCTGAGGAGCTGCCCTCCGGGACGGCCCCCCCGCGGGCCAGCGGTGCGGTGCGGTACGGTGCGATGCGGAAGGGCAGGGAGCGGCGCGGAGTCCCCCTCGCTCCCCGCCCGGACCGGGCCGGTAGATTTAACCAGCGCTCTCCCCGAGGCGCACACGGCAGTCGCGGCCGGTGCCGGGCACGGACCGACCCCCCGCCGTTACCGCAATAACCCGGGCGCAGCTCCGGTGCGGAGCTCCGGGGGCTCTCCGGGGGCTGCGGCGCCCAGCGGCACCGGGGGACCCCCCGGGACACGCCGTGGGAGCGGGTCCAGGCCTGACATCGCTGCAGGAAGGTCTGCAGGGAAAAGCGATTCAAACCCAGCAACGGCCGGAGGAAAATAAATGCATAAATTGCTGTAATTCTTAGTCCTGGATGTTCTGGTAAACCCGAAATTCGGGACAGTAAATTCCTTGCTCAGAAAGGGATTGACAGGTTCCTTGCGATTAAAAATAATCAACAAAGTCTTAAACAGGGAACAAAATGCCCACGTACCAGGACGCCATGGCTTGGCCTGGCAGGAGGCACACACAGACCTCTGTCCCACCAGCAGTCGGTTGGCTTTGCACTCTCGTATCCTCTCGGGAGAATGGGTTCTGTAATTACAACAGGGAAACAGATTAATTTACAGACTACAGAATATAAGTTTCACCTTCTGCTATCAGCAGATAAAAAAAAAAAAAATACGTTTCACCTTCTGCTATCAGCAGATTAAAAAAAAAAAAATCAATCCTGAATTCTTTTTAGACACAGTCAGTGCTGTCTGCAGTGAAACACGCTGGCTTGGCGGCGCAGCGGTGCCTCCCAGGGGTGTTTGGGTTTTAGACACAGTCAGTGCTGTCTGCAATGAAACACGCTGGCTCAGAGGCGCAGCGGTGCCTCCCAGGGGTGTTTGGGTGCCCTCGGGGAGCTGGAGCTCTGTCCCCACAGCCCAAACAGCAGTGAGCAGAGCTGGCAGAGCCACGTACAGGGGAAAGAGTGAGTCCTGGATCCCTCTGAGTGGAGAGAGAAGGTGCCCACGGGGAGCTGGAGCCCTGTCCCCACAGCCCAAACAGCAGTGAGCAGAGCTGGCAGAGCCACGTACAGGGGAAAGAGTGAGTCCTGGATCCCTCTGAGTGGAGAGAGAAACGTCCCCGACTGCACCCGACTGTCCCGGTTCTGCTCGTTCCACTCGAGGGAACCCCCTCACAGAAAAGGGACAAACCCAGAGCTGTGCTTGGTGCCTGCTGGGAGAGACACAACCCGGAGCAGTGCCTGGTGAGCAGCTTGTTCTGGGGGTTTTGGAAGGGCCTGATCCCAGCCCGAAGCCGGCAGAGAGGGAACAGGCCGTGGGCATTAAAAGACAAGGCCGGTGCTGCCTGAACAGCCGGAGCGTGTAACTGAGGCTGTCATTTAACAACAATACCTACGCCTCTCCGCTCTTAAAACGCTCTCACATTTTATAATCATTCTGCAATTAAGGCCTAACCACATATTAAAAGAAACTCAAAGTAAATCAGAAAGTTTAGGATCAGATTCCATTCCTAATTACTGTAATTAACGAACAAGTCCCCACAATTTAAAGACAGGTTTGCTGAGTAATTTTTTTTTACATAGACCCCTTTTATCTAAGTTAAGAACTTTTAAATAATCTCCTTTTACACGAAAACATAAATTCCTGTTCCAATTGTTTTAATGTGGTATAAAATGAGGTTCCCAGACTTAGACAAATAAGACAATTCTTCGTTGCCCCTCCTCCTTTGAAGGCAAACAAAAGGTTCAGAAGCTGAGTGAGCAGAAAGGCACATTTCCACACGCACACCAAGAGTGCCTGGTACCAAATATTTCAAAACTAACGTCAAGAGAAAAGGGCTGTTCTGGGTGCTTCACTTACACGTCGGGGAGTGAATTCACTAAAAGGGGAAGGAGGTGTGTGCAGAGGACGGATCCCCGGAGCAGCGTGGCTGTCAACTCTTGAGGGTGCTATTCTTCCATCTCAGCGTGGGTCTCGCTGTGGAGACGGGAACAGCTCCACGATTCAAAACAGCACCAAAAGTCATTTACACAACCTCAGCTGTGCCGGTTTCTGCTGGTGGAGAAGGGAACAGAGTGGGAAAACATAACCGTGGAGGAGTGTAAATAATCTGCTTTATACAAGTGAATTCTGTCACTGTTAAGAGTTTTTAATTGCAGGGGAACACTGAGATGTCTCCATTTTGCCTGAACTCGGCTCCTGTGCTGTTCTTGGGCCCCTGACCCCCCCGGGCTGTGCAATGGGCTACCTGGCTCCAGGCTGGAGGGGCTGTGTGGGCAGCATGGTGCTCGCCTTCCCCATCCCAAACCTGGAATGAGGTACAGAACACAGCACGAGGCTGCCCCGCCGAGAATCGCAGCGCTATTACTCGCTTATTTTACTACCTTGTTAAACGAGACTATTTCCCTGTGAGTGACAGGGCTCCAGAAGGCCCCGTCTGCAGGCAGAACTCCTTGGGGTGAGTGCCAGCACGGCCCAGCCTCGTCCCACCCGCCAGAGGGTGGGGGGAAGGAGATCTGGCGAGGACGGGGAGGGGGGCACCATGGGGCAGAAAGGACCGTAAGGCTCTCCTGGAAGGGACAAGGGGACATTGTCCTCAGCTGCCCCCCCGAGCACCAGGGGAGCGGGCAGGGATGGAGCAGCAGCAGCTTCCGAGGCGAATAAAGAGCTGGCAATTTACCCCCTTACTTCTGGTGGTGGAACAAAACACAAACTTCTCCCCTCTCCCCTGTTTTCTGCCCCAGGGAGGGGAAACATGATACTCACATAAAAGCTGCCACACGTGACGATTTTCAAAGGAAAAGGCTTTATATGCCAAAGCCTCGGAGGCCGGTGGATGAGCCTGCAGCATGGTACGACAAGTCAACCCGCACCTCCCCTTCAGCTGGGCAAGGCAGCTGGTGACTGATCACCAGTTTTGATGTGCAGCTTGGTCCAATGACAGATGATTTAATTACTTATCATTACAGCTCTTCTCCTTTGGAGAAACAGCTCCAAGGTGAATCAACTCCAATCCGTGAGATCTTCCTTTTCCCTTCTGGTATTATTGCCCTTGTCTTCATGGTCTCTATGACCATGACCCCAGCCCTTGCTGTCCTTGTGCTCTGCTGACTTGTGGCTCCTCTCCTGAGGGCTCAGGGCTTTGCAGTTACCAGGCAGCTGACTGGGAGCATCTTTCCCCTTTCATTTGTCCGATTACGGCTCACCTCCACTCAAACGGCGCTCAGAACCCAATCTGTCTCCAGCCTGTCACCTGTAATTGTGTATAACCAGCCTGTGAAGTTATAAGTGTTTTATATGTTCAGTTTTTGCTTGGTCAATGAGCCATTACATACACAGTTTCTCTTTTATAGTTAGGACCATATTTCACTGACTATATTCATGGTGCCCAGAACATTCCAAATGCTTTTCAGATACAGCATGAAGTTCTGTTCCAAAGAACATACAGTTGAAATACCACAAAACAGGGGCTGTGAGAGTATTGCTCCTCACCTCTCACCATACTGTTTCCTTCTGCAGGATTAGGCCATCTCCTTTGCCTCAAGATTTCCCCGAATCCTCTTTACAGTTCTGCAACTGGTATGCTGCCCGTATCCCTTTGTCAGCACTTGGCCTATCCACAAATCACCCATTCTCTCTCTGATCTTCTACCTCAGACTCGACAACCTCCCTTCTTTCATACTTGAGTTTACTTCCCAATTTTCTGTCTACCTTACAAACTTCAGTGGTTTCTCTCATCACGAATAGCTCGGGATCTTAATTCATTCCTGCTGACATCTCCCTGGGAGATGGAGCAGTGCTGTTACTCTCTGTTGCACAGCTAGAGAGCCGGGAGAGGGATGACTTGCCAAGGCCACACAGAAATAAGTAGCAAAGCTGAGAATTTCATCTCCTATGTCCTGAGTGCAAAAGTTTGACTACTTCTTCCCTACAAATGAAACACTTTATTTTTCATACACTTCCTTGCTATTTTAATTTTTTTTTTTAATATGGAAAAGTTAAATTAAGTTTTATCTTGTAATAAATTTATTTCTGAAGTGAACTGCCAAGAAAATGTCATTCTTTTCTTTTTTATTTTTGCCATTGTATCCTTAAGGAAGCATATAGGAAATCCAGCTTTTTTTTTTTTTTCTAGACCCTACCCCTATTGAATTAAAGACTGTCATTGATTTTAGCAGGAACTGGTGCAGCCCCTCAGCTGGCATACCATTATGCAGCAGAGTAGCAATAGGGTAGTTCTGGTATCCCAAACTCCTGGTATTTAACAAACTCCTGACATTTAACAGAATCCTGTTAGAGCAATAGCATCTCCTCACTCATACAAGTCATCCACCCTGATACCCAAAGCGTTCCAGGACTATCAGCTCTTCCTAAAGCCACTCATTTGCAACACTAACTGAAGCAGCAGCTAAGGCTGAGCACGTGTGGGTCACTGCTCCAGAGCACACAAGGGTGAGCACTGAAAGAAGAAAATACCTGCGTTTGTCTGCTATACATGTGTTCTGACTTTGCATTAATCTCTTGTTAATGCAAATATTCTATATCCTTTATAAATATCCATGTACTCGTCCAGTAACACTATTCAGACCCGTTAAATTAATGCAAAAAGTGGTTTATTTGGGTAAGCATAACTTGGGTAATGTGTAAGGAGACCACGTATAGTCCATCCCCAATCACCCGCTTTTCAGAAGGGACATTTACAAAGATGGACTAATACATTTTGAGATGGCAACTTCAGTGATGAGGAACCTTGCCACTCACTTGGCTGTTACTTTTCGCTGTCCTCAAAAGACTTTCAAACAGGAGATGGTGCAGCATGGCTCAGGGTTCATCACTCTAAGTAGTTCTTGTTTGCACTGTGGACATTGCTCTGGGAGGATCTGAAAAAAAAATAAAATGGAAATATCAAAATATGTTAGGCACTTCCCAGAAGCACAGAAAACAGCCCTTTGCTACACAAAGAATTTATAACCAGAAGAACAAGATATGAAAAGTGAGAGCAATGGGACTGGAAAGGAAGAGGAAGACCAGCTTATAAAAACAGTCATGCCATTTCTTAATTATGTATTTTAGCACATGACATCCTGTCACAAAAGTTAGTCCCTGACATGGATTAAGTTCTATGTTCTCATCCTTTAGAGGAGGTTGTTACAAGGATCAAAATTAACTATAGAGTTAAAATGTGGTAAAAAAGTTGTGTTCTGTAGTACAGTATGGAGACAAAAGCCTCATGCTGTCGTCCCAGGACAAACACATTGCAGAATCCAAGGCAGGTTCCAGCGGGATGGGAATGGCATGAGGTCTCCCAGAGAACTCCCCGCTCTGGCAGGCTGTTCACACTTCCCTTCCTTCAAAGCTGCTGTGTGACTCACACGTCAGAGGGTGGCCTGGCCTCACTGCCCAGCAGCTCACGGGTTTGGATTCCCAGCCTGTGAACACCCGATGCTGAAAGTATCTGTGGAATTAAGGACTAAGACCTGGAAATATAAAGATAATACACATTTAGCACAGCCCTTCTTTTATTAACGTCATAAAGCGTTTGACTTAAGTGGCAGAATGGTTTGGGGCCACAGCTGACTTGTTTTAAAACGTCAGGTTTTTTTAAGTGTTGACTCCACACCAGTAGAAAGCACTTTTACTGCTCGGTGTGGATCCCATCGTGGGTCTGAAAACTTGACCTCCCCATTGAGCTAAACTCAGCTTTCTCTAATTATCCCCCTGCCAGCCCAGGGATTACTGGCATGAGTAACCCAAGCAGGAGCTGGCCTGCTAAATGAAAAATGTCAAAGGCAGTGAGGGGGAAGGGACTCACGAGGAAGCTCTGCAAAGTTCTTAGAGTCACTCGGTGACATCACCAGTGAATCCAAACCCTGATCAAAGCAGCCCCCAGCACCGGGAAGAACAGAGGCTCAGAGGAAGGAAGCAAGTCAGGGGCGGCCCCAGCTTGAACACGATGGCAGTTCTGTTATCAGTTTCACGCTGATAACAGCCATACTTCTGACATCAGAATTTCCCTGACTCTCCTAAGAATAACCATTGCACCAACACGGGACTGCAGCCCCTGTGGGTGACGTGAGGAACCTTCGTCCCCTGCAGGGATCCCAAAGTGACTGGAAAACATCCGTGAGAGGCCCTGGCACCGCTGAGGGAGCCCCTGTTCTCCTTCTGGCCTCCACCGGAGAGAGCCCGCACGCAGCAACGTCCAGCACCTTCTGTGCAGAAAAACAAGGAGACATTGCTCACCACCACACCAGTTCCACAAGGCATTCCTCTGTTCAAACTGGGATCTTATGCTTCAGGTAAAATGAGTCTTTATCTTAAGTGCAGTAAGAGTTAATCACAAACCAGGTGAGTCTAACGATCAGTAGGTTTTTTCCTGAAAGGATCACAGTCCCATAAAAATCTAGAAACTCAAGTGGGGAGGTTAAGGGACATTTGAAAGTTTCAGAGGGAACGGGACTGGCTACCCCAAGTTGTGATGCTCCCAACAAACCATTCCTTCTGCTTAGTTCTTAAAGGCAGCTGATGGCTGAGCTACAGAGTGCTTTAAAGAAATATTATCAGAATTTATATGAATAAAATCAGAAGACTTCATTTGAAGGAAGCTGTCATCTTTTTCATTCATTTTATGCAAGCATAAAAATGATATTTTGTTTGCAATAATATTTCAGAAAGTAAAAAGCCAGTGACAGTGCCAGGCTGTGGGCAAGATGTTTTGGTACCCAAACCCAGGCCAAGCAGTGCTGAGAAGGCCCTGCCCTTCAGCCAGGAGGCAGCCAGGGCTTGTCACTGACCGGCCATACAGCAAACAGTGGAGCTGTGGATAAATCAAAGCTCATCACTCAGAGAGAGCCCAGGGCTCAGAGTCTGCAAAAAGTTTTTGCAAACTCCTTGTGCTTCTGAGCACAGAATGAGCCAGCTATGAACTGCCTTCCCGTGCTGCAAAAATGTCTAATTTTTTTCCTTCTACAGCTGTAATTAAAGATAGGAAATGGGAATAAGTTTTTGGATTCTAAATTATTCATGCTGAATAATTATTTCAGGCCTAAACAAACTAGATGCTAATTTTATGCAAATTACATGCAACATATTAATATGAGCATAAATCCTACATTCCTTAACAAACAACATCATTCTATTAATGGGGAATATGAGCAGAACAAATTGCTCACACTTGTGACATAAACGTGGTAAATACAACACAAAACTAAATTTAACATTGCAAAGTAAAATTTAATTTTAGAAAAAATAACTCCCATATTCTTTAAAAGCAGGCAAAACCTCTAGATTTTTAATCACATGAGTTGCACGGTTCTAAAAAGAATTCACGTGACATGTTTTTAGTGTTGGGTGCTCCAGTACTGGATTTAATTTTACTAAAACGTATGGTTTTAAAAGGAACATGATTTAAATACCTGTGTGCCCCAGAATCCATGCTGGCCAGCCGCAGCCAGACGCTCAGCTGCTGGAGGAGGACAGAAAAGTGCCACTCAGCACAGAGCCCTCCTGCTCCCCGTCAGAGAAACGAGCTGCCCCAAACACCACAGCTGGTGTTCGGGTTGGGTAACACAGCACAGCTGGTCATGGGCCAGTATTTCCTGTTAAAAAAGGGACTATTCCCCAGCAGCATGAAAGTTCTGGGGCCTTTTAGAAAGGCTTAGTAGATGGAAGTATTTATAGAACTAAGTGCAGGGCTTAGGGATCATTTACATTTAACTTAAGTCACCAAGAGTCATTTACGGTAGGGTCTAGACCACATGGGAATTCAATAAACTGAAATAAACATCACTTACCCAGCCCAGCATGTCATTGATAAGAGTTTGAGGGTCCCGTTCCCTTCTGTTTTATGGAAGTGCAGGAGTCAGTCTCCAGGAAGCCAGACTTTGCCCCAGTGCCTGTTTGTGCCAGCGGGCTCGGAGCCATCACCAAAACCGCCCGGCAGCACCGCAAGGAGTCTAACTCCTTGGATCCACATATTTTGGTCAGGGCTGAAAACATCCATCTGATGGTAGAGTACCAGAACATGTGACTTGTATCAAATTTTAAACCTACTGAAAATCTTTCCAGAAATCTATTTAAAAACACTCAGAAAGAAAGTAAAAGCATGCATGCTCTTCAGTTTTCCTGTAGGAGTGCTGCTGGTGTGATGAAATGTCGGAGAGCTGCCTGGAGACACTAAACCTACGGCCAGAGCAGTGATGAAGGCCAAAGACATACAGATGTTCAGAATATGCTGCAGTGTTCTCTCCTGATGCCATACACTATTCTCTGGGAGTGATATTCCTGCTGGGAGTGTGTGCACGCCCTGTGCAGTCACCCTGCCTTCGCTGCGTCCACAGCAAGGGAAAGACCAGCCCCTGGGACACTCCTCAGAGGGCTTTACACAGGAGGAAGAAGAGGTCGGACGCGAGGTGAAGGTGCACACAAACAACGTGCCTCAAAGAATTCCATTTCCTGGTAAGCAAAGTCCTTTTCTCCACCTGCCAAACCACACTTCCACTGGGACTGTGGGTGACTTCAAAGCAGCCTGTGCTCCCTGGAGGAGGGCCCCAAACACCCCGACAAGCCGTGGTGGCTCCTACCGCATCGGCCGTGTGCTTTGAAGGTTTCTATGGCTATGTACACCTCGGCACTGTCCTCTCTGGAATGTGTGTGATCAGCAAACACAGGGAATGCACAGAACCAGTCCTGAGGGAAGCCACCGCGCAGCGGCAGAGCGAGTCTCAGTCTGTGCCAAGAGGCTGCTGGTGTCACCTCGATTCCCAGGAGCCTGGAGAGTGGGGTCAGTATGTTTTGAAGTGTTCTGTGTTCACACCAACTTTTCCTTTGTGTGTTACTCTTTTTTGTCCCACATTTTCACAGACAGGCTGCTCCTCTCCCTGTAAGTCACCAGCATCAACTTTGCTGTAATATTGCTGATCCTGAATTCTTTCCCCAGGCAAAATTCCTGATAATTTCAGTTGGTGCCTGAGTTGTGTAAGAACTTCTGACCAAATAAATTGTGCTTGATGCAGGAAAACCCCACACAACGGCTAAACAACCCAGAATGAGGAGTTTCCTCCGTACAGACATTTGCTGAGTTGGGTTTTAAGGCCGGTGAGGTGCAGAAACATGACCTCAAAGGACACGCTAACGATGGAGGGAGCACAAAGCTTCTCTTGACTATTGGAGGGGAATCTGGTCTAGTTACTGCTGAGAGGAGAGAAAACCAGATGAGCCCTTCACCAGTGACACTCCTGTCCCTGGGATACACTACCAAAGTGGCTTTTTCTACAAATTTGGCTGCAACGTCTATATTCAATGGAAATCTAACTCGATTGTGCCTGGTAAATTCACTGTGCCCGAGCTATTCAGGTGCCTGCAAGTGTAATGGCTGTGTCCTTCGGGGAGTCTCTAGCAGGTCAGGAGGTGTGCAGTCACAGAGCTGTCCCTTCTGCTGCTTTGGAACGTGCTCCCATTTCGGGAGGCAGAGAAAAGAAAACCAGTCAACTCACCAAACGGGGAGAATCAGCTTCCTGGGAAAAGGGTGGCACTGCTGAGCTCAGGACTTCTTTCCTGTTGGGAACAAGAGACAGACAAAACTTGCCTGACGACAGTGTCAGTGTCACCAATTACCCAGCACAGGACTCTCCTGGCTGTTGGCCGCAGGAGGTCAGTGACAGACGGGCTGCTCATTGCCCACACGCTGTCTCAGACCCTCCTCCCACATACTTTGCATGGTCCAGGCATAACTCACCCCTTTTCTGCTCACTTCTGTGCACAGAAGTGAGGCAGAGTAAACCCTCAGGTGGACTGTCCCCTGCCAGGGACAACCTCTCCGTTTCTTTTCAAGTGGCTGTTCATGAAGCTTTATGTGGCGTTGCAGAAGTCATGTAGGTTGCAGGGAATAATAAAGCTATTGATAAGAAAGAAGTTTGTGTTCTCATTCTCCCAGCACCATGAGACTGAAGAAGAAACAGAGCTACACTTCTCCAATTTCATTGCTTTTTTGGATGGGTATTTATTTTAGGCTTCTGTTCTGAAGAACCATTTTCAAGTCTGGATAAAATTCATGCCAGAAACTATTTACTCTTCTTGATATGGTATGAATAAAGTCAAGTTCTTCACTGGAGTATACCCCGTGACAAAAAATGCCCTAGTAATTATGGGTGGGGATTTTCATGCGGTGACTGATGGTGCCTTGGAAGGCAGCCACGACACCCAGCATTCAGAAGCTAAGCTATCTAAATCCCTGCAGACCTCGTTTCTGCTTTGGGAATATAGGACAGGTGTGGCAGTTACTAAACCTGGATACTTGAGAATTCGCCTCGTATTCCCAGGTGTGGGCCATTAATTCTCGCTCAGACTTGTTCAGTTCTAACAAGTCTCTTTTGAACCAGATTTTATATGTTCACGTATACACACACAGTACGTTGCATTTTCCTGTCAATCCATTCAGCTACTTTGTTTTCCCTCCTCTGTAGCTGCGCAGCCTCACCTTACCTAACACTGTGCATACACTTGGCAGCAAAGCCCAATACTGACCAGCAGCCACCTACAAATCCCTGTCACACTGTAGGTACCAGAGGACTGGCAGTTGGCATTGTTCAGTACAATTACTGAAGACTTTCAGGTAAAACTCAAAGCCAAGCCCCAGTGAAACCCACAGCATTGGCTATACCGATTTTAATTGGCTCACTAGACACCAGAGCAAAGCCAGAGAACACTCAAACAAAAACACAGGTTGATAAAAACTGTAAAGTCCTGTAAAAAACTATAAAGGAACGTGACACTCCTTTTCGTTAGATGCTCTTCCAGAAATCTGAACACTTTGGGGCAATGCGACACACCTAGAGTCTCCTCCCAGACCAGGCATTCCTCAAGGACACACTTGGTATTTTCAAACTCAAATACCTATAAGAAAGCTTCCAATTCCACATTCTGATGTGGAAGGTCACAGAGAGTAACTCCACCTGCTTTGCTCACTTTGAAGGGTCTTTTGGCTATTGAACACTGATGTGTATCTGGGCACCTTTATTTACTCAGAATACATTGGTCATCTTCTGAGAAGCCCTCTGGAATACCGCAAAGAGGGAGTAAGATATAATTGTATGTTAAATTCTGAAAAAGCACACATTTTTGTGACAGCACGTTTATGTGCAGAGAATTGTCACAAGAGGAGGAAGGATTACTGGGGGTACTGAGAAGACACCAACCTCCAAACCCCTGCGGAGGCCACTGCTGTAGCGGCACCTTCTCAGATCAAAGCACCACCTTGTGCAGGGAAAGGTCGGGATTGGAGAACCTGAGCTGCCTCGGCTGGAAGCACACCTTCCTGACAGCACGAGGGATAAGCAGAGGCTGGGTAAGAGTTTCACTAAAAATCAAATTTATCCTCAACAAGTATTTAGTAGGTACAGAAGAGAAGCCTCTGGGATGCGACTGTTAAAGACCCAGCCTTCTAACCAGAGTAACATACAAACAAGTGAGACCTGCACAGGCAGGCACACCTCTACCATCCAGCTAGCTGATTCTAAAAGTGAAAGCTTCTGATTAACTTCCTGATGATGGCATGAAACAAAAACACAGCAATTAAGGAATTCAGTCTCAGGGCACAACTAGTGCAGATTCTATGCAGCTGAAACCAGTCCATCAGGCACAAAGTACCAGCCCTCCACTTAAATCCGTGGGGGCAATGGGAAGAGCTGGAGAGAAGCATGGCATCTAACAGAGTCACATGGGGTTGGAAGGGACCTCTGGAGATCATCTAGTCTGACTCCTATAGAGGTGACAGCTTGGGTTTCTAGCAGAAGCCATAACCTCTATATTAGTTTTCTCCAACACTGTAAGAGCTCTGTGTCAAGCTGACTCCTTTGCCATCACCAAAGACGTGAGGAACAGCTGCCTATTTTCTTCTTTTGTCCTTTTCCATTTGAGAAAAGCCCCCTTCATTCTGCCCATGTAATTGAGTTAATCTCATTTCAGAAACCAATACCAGTGATTCTGGCGTCTGGATAACTTTAATATTTGGATAACTGCAAGTACGGGAGGTAGTACTAGAAGCAGCAGAAGGAGAAACTGGAAATACTTAGTTGCAAGACTTATTAGCTGCATAGAGAGAGAGAACAAAGGCATTGGATTTTTCTTGTAAATGAACTCCAGGCAGTGTTACAATGAAATGGATGTTTGCTATTAGAGCAGAATGGCTCCTTTCTTTACTTAGCATTTTCTAGAACAAAAGCGCTGCCACTTTCCAAGGCTGTAGTGAGTCAGCGCTGGAATCAGAGTACGACACCGAAATAGCGGTCACCACCGAGCAATGTGTCCCCTGCCATCTCCTCACCTAGTTACAAAGCCTACCTCTGACAAATCATCTATTAATAGGCACAATTCTATCATTTATTAAATCGGATTGAAAAAACACTCAGAAATTCTGTGCTTAACAAGTATAAGCTTTTTCAAACCAATAGACAGAGGCGTTCATAATGCTTTTTCTTCCTGAATTTCGTTTTTTCACAATATAACCAGATTCCTGACAAATGAAACTCAGGAACCCTCCTGCTTTCTGAAGCTTCTATAACCTCAGCTCTGCAAAATTTATATTTCTAACAATAGGAGTCTGGTCTTGGTGCAGGTCAGTCCTGAACACGAAAAGTAATTCTCATAATAACCAAAATGCAAGGGCTCTGAAGAGAGGGGAGGTTCGCAGTAAGATGATTAGGGAAAACCTCTATTACTGGCTCTGTATTTCTGGGATGTTCCTGAATGAATGTCACCTGCTTGGTGGTCACAAGGAACACAATCACATTCTGAGTCCTTCTATCCAGTTCTGAACACATCTAGGTTAAGAGAATAGGGGTAGCAGCTACCAAGAAAAGCTTTGATTTTGTTATAATTCAGTGCATTTGCCCTCAAATACATTAACATGCTGTACATCACAGCCTGGAATGTGTGTTTTTACCTAAGGGGCCCATTTATTTCCACTTGTTAAATATATAAATGCTTTTATTTTCCTGTCTTCTAAATCACTGGAAAGGAAATGACTGGCTTTTCATCTAGGAGAATGCAGAGGCACGGATGTCAGACCAGGGGGGAAAACTACCCAGTAGCATCATGTGTGAAAAGTAAACACGTAACAGAAATGTGCAAGTCTGAAGTAAAAAAAATCCAGCAAAGGCTTATCCGTGAGGGAGAGACCTGAACACCTCCAGAAAAACCCATTTTTTAAGGCTAAGTTGTATGGTTTAAAGGGTGTTTGTATGGTTTTTATTTTGGGACAAAAAAAAACAATTGTCCTTGAAGACAGAGGTAACTCGCATAAAGAGTGGAATCAGGCACAACAGGCAGGATTCAAACAGCGACAAAGCAGTTTTCATGCTGTAAGTGGAAGGCTGCAGAGAACCTCTTAAATATTTTTGTAAGTGCTGGAACTTTCACGCACCTGGAAATAGGCAGGGAAAGCATGTACCTCAGTGCTGCATCTCAGGAGCAGGTGCCCATGTGTTTCTGTGATTACTTTTCAGATCGCTCCCATCATACTCTATTTTTACTGTAACACTGTGAGCAAAAAAATAAAAGTTCCCCCGCAGACACTAAAGTAGCCAGTGTGATGGTTTTGCTGTAAGAGGACACAGAGCCAACCCAGAGCTCGAGCCTCTTACGTGCATGGAATTACGTGTGAGCTTTAATGTTTAAAATAATCAGACTCTGTGAGAATGAGTTGGTCTATTTTATTTTCTTCAGCTTTCTTTGATGAGGATTAATGAATGAATGGCCACAAAGTGCTCTAAAAGCCCAGGAGAGCGCTCTAAGAGCACACACACTTAACTATTGTGAGCAAAGGATAATGCTTAATGCTTACCTGGGATTTCGCTTTAGCTACAGAGGGGTGAGTCATTGTCACAGAAAATGTAACAGTTTCAACTGAGAAAGACAAAAACATTAGAGATGTTAAAGCAAATACTCGATGACTGACAAGGAAAAGTATCTTCACAGTAATGAGCCGAGAAAAACTGTTTGCTCAGACTAATCCTCAGAATTCTTCTGCAAATGTGGTTTGTTTTCCACAGGGCTTTACAAAAACAACAACAAAACACCCACACGACATCAGCCAGCCCTAAAAACGGCAAATACAAATCATTATATCTACATTGCTGAGCCCTGCAACCGTGTTTACAAATCTGATTCTTCCCGCTCCTTTTGGGGACATAAACAGCTTCCCAAGCGGGTCCACGTGCTATCGGAGCAGCACACACACTGCTGCCTTTTCTCGGCTTTTGAACAAACAAAAAAAGTACTTTTTCCACGCTATGGCTTTCACCATGTGCATACCTGAACTGGTTGAACACTCGCTCCCCCTACGAAGCGGGGTTTTCAGAGCCCCCCACCGCAGACACACTCCCGTGCGGTGCAGCCCGTCTCCCTGGCAGGGCTGTGAACACGTCCCGCGACCCCGACCCCGGAGGTGTGGGCACACCTGCCTCTTCAGGCACAGTTAACGTGATGGCAACTAAAGTGCTGCAAAATATTAAGAGCCAAAAAACATTCTTCTCCACAAAAAGTAAAGTATTTTATAATAATAAGCACACAGCTGTGAAGCAGTGCATAATCTACACGATCTAGGTATTTCCTCATCTGCCAGCATTTAGCATCTTTTGTAAAAAAAAGTCTGGAAAGGAAAATTGACTAATAATCTATGAAGTTTATGTATTTTCCATGATTTCTGTTGCCAAGAGAACAATATTTACTTGTTGTCTTTGCTGTTCTTTCTACCGTATCTCACCACGTCCTTCAGAGGCAAACCACCGGTCGGCCAGGCTGAGAGGGAAACACGGCACCAGGTGTTAATTAACAGCCCAGGAGCAATTAAACGATGCCAATCAGTGCGGGAACACAACACGATCTCACCGGATTCCCTCGGGGCACCGGCCGGCCAGCCCCCCCGAGGAAACGGCTGGGCCCCGGCGGCCCGGTGCCGCGCTCCCCCTGAGGGCCGGGCCGGGCCGGGCCGAGCTTCCCGCGCAGCCCCTGAGGGGAGCCACGGGGGACCCGCCGGCTCCGCTTCTCCCCGAGGGCCGGCGCGGGGCACCCACCGGCCCCAGGGCGGGAGGGGAGGCCTCCCCCGCGGGAGAGGGGAAGCTGCCGCCCCCGGGCGGTGCCGGGCCGCCCCACGGAC